CCTTAAATAGTGATTACTATATCACAGAATTTAAAGAAGCAGATTTTACTATTAATACTGCCATAAAACACAGATAGAAGTGCCATGCCAGCAGGGTGAGGATATTTTCAATTTTCAATGAAAAATAAACAAGGATCCTGGGTTAAGAACCTATATATTTTTGACCATCACTTTTTAGATATAGCTAAACACTTTCATTAAAGCTGAAAGAAAAAAAAATGGAGATTATTTAGTCCAATTCGTTAATTTCACATATTAGTTAATTATAAGCATAAGAAAAACAATAACAGTAGCAGCATGAGATAGGAAGGGATTTCTTTTTCATGGTCACACATTAAACAAATGGCAGAATTTTTAATATAAGCCAACTCTCAAAAGTGATGCTCTGTCCCAAGGAATGATCAGGCCTCTCTTGTTGCTTGACTTAATCTGCTCAGCTTGGAATTCTTGTCTGGGGCTGGAGTTTGATTGGGCTGTCAGTGACTACTAACTAGACATGGTTTCACCATAAGTCATCTCCAGCATATTTTGAACTATGTTTTGTCATCCACCCACCTGCCATACACATATAACTGTGTATACCACACCTAGTTTATTTCTACCTCTTGCTCTGGCAATAGTAATTAAATATAAAGCATCATTACCTCTGGAAAGAGCATGACAAAGACTTTTCCATGGCTGTAATTACAATTCCTGTTTTAATATGAAGTTTAAAAACTAAAATAATAGGAAAGGGATCATGGCTTTATTCACCAAAAGAAACAAAAAAAATCATCTTCTTTCTAAGTTCTTAAGGTAGCATTTTAATATAAAAAAGTATCATTTTCAAAAGACATAGATATACTTAAATGTTAATGACAATAGTCCACATACTTTGGTTTTCTCCCCCATTTGAATATAAGCTCCCAGAGGGTAAGGACTGTGTCCCATGTCTTTTTGTCTATGGGATCTTGAGTACAGTGCCTGATTTATGTGTTTAATATTTGCATTTCATTCATTCATCCATCACAATTCTGGATGCTGCTTTGTTATTTATTACAAGTTAGTCCTTACTAAGAACTGCGGAGATGAAACAAAGCAAGTTTCTGTCACAATTAATTAAGTTCATAGGACCTGAGTCCAGAGGGTCTGGTGATACAAAGACCTGAATCCAGAGGGTCTGGTATGATGTTCTCCAGTAGTTTAACTGCAAAAGCATTCTTCCCATGATGACCTGGCAACAGCAGTACCAGGAACCATTTTTTCCCCCTCTAAGTTCATCTGGAATCCAGTTTTTTAGCCATACCTCTCACAGATTCACCAGAATTATAATGGAAAGACACAATCACTTTCTCTGGCCATCGAAACTGTTAAAGAGGAGTCAGGTATTTCTATACCTACCACTATAAACCAGAATCAACCTAAGCAATATTTAATTTCTTGGTGCTCACAAGATTATGTTTACTAAGAAGGACAAGGTTTTATGTACACTGGTAAGCACTGTGGTAAAACTTTATTACTTGTGTAATTTAAGTTCTTTTTTCTGTTTAACCATTTTGAAGTTTCTATACTTACATTTCATAGTCCTAGAGTAAAATTTTGCCCACAAAAGCTCTGTGACAATAAAATATCTTCACAAGAAGGTCTATTTCTCCCTTGCCTGTTTTACTGATATTGAATCAAGTGACACTAGGAAAATGGAGGAATTGGAGTTGTAATCCTCTGTTAAAGGTCATCAATAAATCTGAGCAAACAAAGTGCACCTTGTGCTTGGAGAGTTGTCAAGGTAGCCTGGGGTTCTGTAGAGCTTTGGGGTAGTTTTGAGACAACAAAGTTCTAGAGAGGACCTAGAATAGTGTTTTCAAATAATGTTCCATAATACCCTCAGATCCAACAGAATGATTTAGGATTATTGTGAATAAACAACTTAGTTGGTCATGTTATCATAGTTGAATATTTCTGCTTGTTTAATTATTTTCAGGTCCCAGTTATGGAATTCCCAGTTACAGAATAACTTTTAGGAAAATCCAGACATGTTATTAAATGAACATTTTGAAACTGGATTTCTATTACTGAGAAGGCTCTATTCACCAAACCAAAAGGACTTTCTTAGTTCTCCAAGTAGGCTTTTGTAAAAGACAGTATTTCCAAAGAGCTTAGATTTCCTTATGTTTTCATAAAATAACTAAGATTATTGGCTGTCTATTTCTTCAGCTTTTAAGTTGACTTATGTCAACTGTGTAAGGACACAGCCACTACCATAGCATGCCTATTCTGGGCCTGTTTTTTTTTTTCTTCTGGTTTTCTCATTGTGACAATTTGGAAGTCTTCAAATGGTAGTCCCACAAATAGATAAATAATTTTAGCTTTCATTATTTCCCACAATTTATTTTAGGTGAGTTTTTCCTCTGCTCTAAGTATTTATAAATAGAATTAGGTAGCAATTTTAACAGTGATCTACTTTCATCTTATAAGAATTCAATTTTGGAGGGATTCTTTGGGCCATTTATAAATCTCCTCATTGTTTATTTAGTCTTTAAATTGTGAAACAGATATTTTCTCCTCTCTCTTAAATTTGGATTGACCTTTTGAGAATACATCTTTGTTTTATAATACAAGTTGGCCATAATTGTCCATAACCTTTGTTTTGTTTTCAAATTGTTTTTGAATTTGTTTTCATAATATGCCTAATTCACCTTACAAGTGCTGATTTGGTGTATAGTATCCATTAATTGATTTCTTCAGGTTCCCACTGAGAAGATTTGTGTCTCTACTGTGTCTCCACCCCTTAGTTTTATGTAAGCTCCTTGAGAGCAGGAACTCTTTCAGATTTGCCTTTGTATTTTTGAAGCTAAGGACTGTGCTTGGCTGAATTTTTTTTTAACCAAACTTTTCATTTCTCCAGTATTGGGAGCTCCTGGTGAGGAACTTTCATGGTTAAAGCAGGTCAGTCACTTCTTTACAATTTATAGCTTTAGAGAATTGACTTTGGGAAATGAGGGATTAGGTGATTTGCCTAAGGCCATAGAATATGTCAGAGGTGGGACTTATCTATCCACTTACTATGTGAATATTGCAATTTACTTAAAAAGAAAAAAAGTTTAATTTGGTAGGACACTTCATTAGCCAGGATACACAATTTAGTTACTAGTCTTTATGAATTTAAATAGTTTTAAAGTCATAGAAGGAATTAAGGCACAAAACTCAGAGCTTTTCATATTGGAACAAAATAGGAAGATTATAACAATTCAGATCTTTGTGATTCATTATGGACACTCCAAATTTTAGAGGAGACACAAAAGCAAACTAAATAATTAAATGGGCACAACTACATAACTTTATCTTGAAGATTTTTACAATTGAAATAATTTCTACACTATTAACTGCAGAAACCCCCTTTAACTTTGGTTGCAATTCACTGTTTTCTTTATTTCTCATTGTAAAGGATCCACCTGTCTGTGGAGACATACACTTTTGAAATCGCTGAAAATCTACTTGTATAGTAGGAACCCAGAAAACAGCATATTAAAACATTGTTCTGGGATTCCTGGAATTCCATGAAATATAACTCAGAAGATTTTAACTTTGATCATATTTTGATTAAAAAGATTAACCCTGTATAAAAATATATAATGTATACCTGCCACCTAGAATAAGTGGGTCTTGCTGTTTGTGAGATATTTATTTATGACTTGTTTCAAACACATATGGACTATATGCAAATGTAAGAAAAGCAATATTGCATGTCAGTTGTATGGTTCTTTCTGAAGGGAAAGGTAAAGTCAATTCTCTTTGAGAGCAGTAATATGATGCTTTTAGATATGATATGACTCTTGCTCCATGGAAAGCATGCCAAATGTAGAATGGATATGACATCACTTCTACTTCCATTTGTTAATCCTTTTTCTTTTTCCCATATCCCCACCCCTACATCCAATCATTTGCTAAAATCTATTGATCTCTCCTCAACAAATCTCACACTCATCTTGATCTCTGTAGTCACATGGTCACCAGACTAGGTCAGGCTCTCATCTTCTCTCACCTGGCCAATTCTAACAGTTATTCAATTTATTTCCTTATATCAAGTCTCTCCCATTACTAATCTATTCTCCATAGAACTACCAAACAGATATTCCTCAAGCACAAGTCAGATGCTATACTACACTGATCAAAAATGCTCAGTGCTTCCCTACCTCTAGGATAAAATGAAAACTTCTCTGTGCAGATCTTAAAATCCTTTGTAGTCTTGTTCTAATCTTTTAAAACTGATTTCACCTTAGCACTATCACCCTACAAAGTCCTTATTTGTAGCCAAATTGCCTGAATTCCTGTTACCCCAATATGACATTCTAAATCCTATTTCTGTACATTCATACAGATTGTCTCCCATACATGTTCATCTTCCCTTTTCTCCACTGTTTCTTTGAATCACTAGTTTCCTTCAGGCCTCAGCTCAACCATCTCTATTTACATGAAGTTTTTGCCCATTCTCTTCCCTTCCTCCCCCCCAAAAAAACATCAAAACCACATTAAAATAATTATATTTCTCTCTCAAAACAATTCTCTCTTGCTCTCTCTTTCTGTCACTCTCTCTGTCTCTGTGTCTCTCTCCCTCTCTCTCTCTCTCTCTCTGAAAAAACACTAAGGGCAGAAAAGATTTAAATTTCCTTCTTTGTATTCCCAACATCTAGCAGTATGTCCTGTACATAATGTTTAAAAATGGTAATTGAATGAATAAACTATGCACTAGAACCAGTATGACAGCTTTGATATATAGATGTAGATGTTTGGCTCTGTTTTTACATGTAGTATTTTCATATATCTTGTTAGGGATAATTTATTACCGAACCATTTATTATGTCACTTTTGGGGCACCATCTCCATTTTAATGAAACAATACTGTTTTACACAGAGCCATCTTCAGCTAATAAGATGCACTAATGTAGGGCACATGAGTAATGAAAGAAAATGTATACTGCAAGTAAAACAGAGGAGTGAAAAAACTCAAGGGGAACACTAACCATATTAGGCTTGGATGGGCAACAGCGCACAGGGAAGAAGCCCTGTCACAGCCACATTCACAGCAACTGAAAAGGAAAAAAAAAAAGCCCAAGATAAGGCATGGATCCCACTACTCTAATACCACATAAAGATAAGTGAAACTTTTCATTTATCAATTTTGCTTATGTAAAGATTTGATCCTACATGTATAGAAATGTATGGAATCAAAGGTTTGCTTCAACAACTAGTCCAGGTGAATGAACTTGAGAGAGGGTTGGACATGGAGGCAGGAAGACCTGAGTTCAAATGGTTTACTAACTATCTGACCCTAGTCAAGTCACTTAATCTCTCTTAGCCTATGTTTCCTCATCTATAAAATGGGAACATTAGTAGACCTTACCTTACAGGTTTTTTTTTTTTTGAGAATCAAATGTGATAACACAGGTAAAGTATCTGCAAGATAGAGTGTTATATAAATGCTAACCCCTATGTGTATTAGAGATTTGATGGGTACTTTTTTATTTATTTGACTTATTTTGGGGACAATTCAAGTAAATCATACAATAAAATAATTATAAATTTGCCAAACTCATATACAATTTTATCAAATTTAGACTGAACTTATGAAATCAAGAATGATGTTTGGTATTTCATTCTTATTCTCTTTCATGCATATCTCTTTTTTTTCTCTTTCATAGTAATTGAAGATAACTACAGGATGAGGAAGAGGAATTCATCACAGGATATGTGATTCTTTCATTTTTAGTATCAGTTGTACTGTGAATGATATGGTTGCTGTCATAAAAAAAGAGGAATAAGTTGGCTACCTTAGTCAATAACTACTTATTTCTCTTATGTCTATGGAGAATTTATTATAGTTCTGGCCAAAGAAAAATCTTACTTTAAATAAGGTGTCAAATATCTATACCTTGCCTATGGCAAGGTATAGATAGCCAAATTTCTACTGTGGTAACCTATATCAAGAATCCTCATTTTAAATTTAGAAATACCTCCCTACATCATTAACTTGACAAAAATTGTCAAATTGGTATGATAATGCTGATAATATTGTCATTTAAACTATTTAATTGTACTCTTTTATATTTCTCTGTTTATGGTTTGTAAATTATACTACATTATACCACAAAGCAAAAATATATTTTATCCTAGCACCTACTCATATAATCTCAAAATCTAAATGGAGTCTAAACTAATGATATTTTTGCTGTGACATACTCAGGAAAGTAGTTTTGTACTTATACTTAAATATGATTATCTTGAATGTTGCTAGTACCTAAGACAAAAATAATTAAACTACACTGTGAAGTTATGTCACATAGCCTGTTCCTCTCTTTTGTCTACCTAAGATAATGCATATCATATAGAAGAAAATGATCAGTCTAAAGTTGGGATGTACTCTTTTATAATTTTTATGACTCATGGTGAGGTGGTGATGACTTTGGCTAAGATAACTGTTTCTTCCAGATTTTCCCAGTCTATAGTCAACAAAGATTTTATTTATATCATCAAATGCAGAGTGGGCAATATCACTGCTAATATCTTGATAGTGATATATTTTCTTAATACAATCCCAATAGATATATACGTAGGCACACGATACTGACTTGACCAATACTGCTTCCTAGTACAAACATAATTATCACAGAACCTTATAATTGGAAAGGACATTAAACATCATCTAGTCCAATTTCTTCATTGAACAGATGAGCAAACTAAGACTTAGAGAGGAGAAATTGCTTGACAAGGTCATATATGGAGCTAAATGAACATTTGAAGATAGGTCTTCTAACTCCAGAACTGGTGCCCTTTCCATTCTATCATGTTGATTTCCTCATTAATATAAGCAAATCCTACCATAACACTGTCAAATCTCAGTCTAATGTAAATCTGACATTCAACCATTTATTCACTTATACTATAATAATTTTTATATACCTTCTATTCTAGGCATTGAGAAAGATACCAGATCTAGCACATGTTCTACTATACCACATTGCCTTCTTACTAGATACTAAAATATATAGAGACTGTACTTGAGCTGAAAACTGTAAATAGATGACTATTTTGTTTAGTTTTGACAGAACTAGATTAGAGTCATGTGTACAATAATGAGTAAGGAGTGGTGCTTGGGCTTGAATATTTACTTGGACATGTGGCCCAGGGGAAGTCATTAGATCTCTCTGGGCTTCAATTTTATTATTGTTATAACAAATGAAAATAATACCTTCATTGCTTACCTCGCAAATTTATTTTAAGGAAAATAGCTTTATAAACCATAAAGTAGAAGGTCAGTGTTAGTTATATATAAGGTCTATTTTTCCTTTAATCTCACTTTCAATATTGTTTTCCAAGATTACTCTAACATTAATTGATCTCTAATTCTGCTAAACTGATGGAGCCCATATTATCTATTGCATGTGTTAGAAATAGCTACTGATTTAAAAAAGTAAAGAAAAAGAACTGCTTTATCTCCAGAACTAGTTTGTAAATTCATTTAAGTTAGGGATTGATCTTTACGTCAAGGCAAAGAGGACACTAAAGTGAATATTAAGAAAAATCATATAATTTATTATTGTTGTTGTTACTACTACTACTACTACTGCTACTACTACTACTACTACTATTACTACTACTAGTAATTGAAATGGTTAATAAACATCTAGAAAAGGAAACAGAAACCAAAATCACCATGACTTCATAAATAGCAAGTCATGGCAAACAACCTCATTTAGTCTTTTATCAAAGTTATTAGACTGGTTGGTAGATCAAGAAAATGCTGTAGGTATAAATTATCTAAGTTTTTAAAGCACAGAGTTTTTTCATTCTTTTTTTTAGTTGCAAATTCTCTTTCTACCAGTGCCTCTCTCCCATACATTGAGAAAGCAAGAAAAGCAAAACCCATTACAAATATGTATAGTCATACAAAAAATAAATCCTGAATTAGCCATGTTCCCCCAAAACAAAAAAAATAAAAGACATGTATATATGTATATACATATACATATGTATACACATGCACACACACACACACACATATATATACATACATATGTATATGAACGTATGTATTTCAATCTGTCCCTAAGTCCATCAATTCTCTACCTAGAAGTGGATAGCATGTTTCATTTTGAGTTTTCATAATTGTGGTTGGTCATCATTTTGAACAGTTATTAAATTATTATTTTTTTCCAATTTGATTATCTTTATAATATTTTTTATTATTGTATATTATCTTTCTGGTTGTGTTAACTTTGCACTCAGTCTGTTCATATAAGTCTTCTAGGTTTTTCTGAAGTAACATCCTTCATCATTTATTGTAGAATAATAATATTACGTCACATCTGGGTTAAAGAGAGAACAACATATGCATTTAGAAGGGAATAAAAGACTTCAAATTTATAAATAAATGTGAGGGTGAAGGAATATGATAAGGGGAGTTATAGAAGGTATCTAGAGGATTAATGGGAATGGGATAAAAAGTGAATAAAATATATTATTTGAAGGCTATAAAAGTCTTCTAAATTAAGATAGAAACAAGAGAGTAAGGGGTATGTGAGGGGTGGAAGGGGGTAAGGAGGGATCTTTGGAGAGGGGGTCTGGGATTCCAATTGGTGAAAGCCATAACAAGGCCACAGTGACCAGAATAAGACCTAGTGTTTCTGTATATCTACCCAACAGTATTGGCCTCTTTCTTTGTTATTAATCGTAACACACTGTTTGGGGTGGCAGGACCATGAATATCCCTGTGCAGGGGAATTTTGGACCCGACAGAGGGACTAGGTTAAGTAATAGTAGGACAAGGTAGAAGGTAAAGGCTAGAAGGTAGAAGTAAAATAGAGGAGTCAGGAGGGATAGGAAATAAGAGATTCACACAAATATAAAATAAAGATCAGGAATAGAATTCATAAGGGAAAAAAAGCAGGAATAGTAATCATGATCTCAGAAAAAGTCAAAGCTAAAATAGATTTAATCAAAAGAAAAAAATAGGAAACTACATTCTATGTCAGTGATAGTAATCATTTTTAGACTATTTAAAGTAACTATAAAGTATAAGGTTGAAATATTGCTGTTTTGTATGAAATGATGAGTTGGTGGACTTGGAAAAATATGAAAAGATTTGGACTTATGAAGGAAGATGTTATCCACCTTCCAAGAAACAGAGGTCAAATAAGTATACTACAGTCTTACATAGATGCATATGAATGTATATGTCTATATATGAACCTGATTAAGGAGAATCAAATTTTAGAAAAGTTAAATATGAAAGACTTCTGGAGAAAATTGAATGGAGATAGAAATGAATATACTTTTTCTCAGCAGTACATGATACTGCACATAAATTGATCATATATTAGGGCATAAAAACCTCATAATCAAATGCAAAAAGACAGAAATATTAAAAGCATCATTTTTAGATCATGATGCAATAAAAATTACATGTAACAAAAGAAATCAAAGCTATCTATAATAATATAAAAATGCTCCTTATCACTTTTGAGTAGAGAAATACAAATTGAAACAACTCTGATGTACTACCCCACAATCACAAGAAATTACAAATGTTGGAGAGGATGAGGGAAAATAGGTACACTAATGAACAGTAGTAAACTGGTCCAACCATTACGTATAATAATGTAAAACTATGCCCAAAGTACTATAAAACTGTGCATATGCTTTGATCAAGCAATACCACTATTATGTCGGTATTTATTTCATCTTTGCTTGTTGTGAGAAAGAATTGGAAACTGAGATCATGCTCATCAATCATGGAATGGCTGGCCAAGTTATGGCATATGATGTTGATGGAATACTATTTTGTTATAGGAAAAAATGAGAATTTTGGTGTCAGAAAAACAACAACCCCAAACATGGTGAGACCTTTATAAACTGATGTGAAGTGAAGTGAGAATAGGTGATTGGTGAGAATAGTCAGAATAGGAGATCACTGTACACAGTAACAACATTATTGAAATGATGATTAACTGTGAAAGACTTTGATACTCTGATCAATACAATGACATTGTATTGATGCAATAAAATTCTAAATGACTGTGATGAAAAAAAA